ACACACACACATGTAATATTGTTTCCATTTCCAACGTCCCACATGTAGTAAAACACACAATGCAGTTACATTGCAAAATGCAATTACCTGACACCACAAATTTTACAATACAGAAATATCAAAACATGTATGCAACAACTGAGAAATATACCTATGCATGGATCGACAAGTGGCACAGTCGTTCATCGATACCGATACGGATCACTTCGAGCTAAGAAGATATATTAATGTCAAACGCGCAACGATTCGCCGGTGATTGTCATGTATCGTCCTATCATTATATGGTTGTTGTTGCTTCTTGCGCTTGCGGTTGCAACGACGTACTCGAAAAGTATCAACGTTAATAGCGAAGACATTGAGAATCTTCCCACTGACAGGTAAGAAAACTTTGCTTCTTATATATTCAAAACAATGACGTGCACGTACACTGTCCACAATGTGTCCACAAATGTTTCATCAGTTAACACACATAACTTGATATATTTACTGTATTTTCAAAATTGCGATAAAGTCTTTTCCTCGTTGTAAACTTTTATTATAAAATTCATATGAATTTCTTGCGATAAAATTTTCTTCCCATTTCAAAGGATCCACATTTGGAGTACATTTCATACATTTACGATAATGCGAAAGTGTTCAAACACTTACGGACGTATGTTAGTCTTACTCTTCAAGAACACCGTGTTTTATTGTAACAGTAATAAGCCGCACATATAGACCCTGACGAATGCACCTATCATATTTACGAAAAATAATTCAACAAATTTTCTCTAGAATATATTTCAGCAGTCCGTATTGCAGGATTTGCCATTCCCTCATAAATTCTCCTTATCCCGTACCATTTATCTGGCTTTCCACCGGAGTACATCGGAACATTCTTTCGATTTTTCAAACGACCTTTTTCTTTGGACGAATTTCGGATTAGGAGACGTTTCCTACCGGATTGCACACACGCAAAAGTGTGTTAGTCGCCCAAGAGCAACGCTGGCGCAACTGTTAGCGTCAGCGTCAGCGCGTCGCTTAAATTACATTCCGTCGGCTTGCTTGCCAAGATAGAATTTCGAATTCGAAAGAAAACCCTGAATCGACATAATTTATGTCTGTATGCGAAAATCGCGGAATAAATCGGAGAATTTCGTGACGCTTTCGGCTGAGGTGAACTTTCGGTTTCGGCTGTACGCTTCACGCTCAGTCGAAGACGGAAATAAATTCAGTTGAATTTTCTAATAGGAAATTTCACCTAAATGAACATTTCAATCTCGATTTACGAAGCTCGACGTGACTGAATTTCAGGGTGAAAGGTTATATTAAGGCGATTAAGACTATGGCGATGTTTATAACATTCGAGATGATACAGTACTCTACGACAGTAATTAAAGTATTGAATTGTTCGAATTAATTATCTCAATTTTTATAAATCACGATAGCTATTTTACACAGAATCGCTTGAAACATGAATGAATACTGTGACAAAAGTGGCAGCAACAATATTAACTAGTAAAATTGTAATTCGCCGACTTAAATTTCTTGCACATTTTACTCCGAAATTTTCGAACAGACCAATACTTTCACAAGGTACATTCGTGGTTTGTTCGCTTACCAGGACGTAACTCGAACGATCCCTGATACCAGCTTAACTCCTACAACTCCACCACAAGCACCGGATCGCGTTTTCTTAAATAACACTCACTATTTCACTTTATCAAATTATACTCCGCTTCGAAATTTTACACGTGTTATCGCGAGCGCGAGCGAAGCTAGAATAATGAAAGGACGCTCGAGTCGTTCTATTCCTAACGTGAGTTTTTGTTTTCCCTCTTCGAACGGGAGTCTCGCCTTTTCCAAGAAATATCGACGTTCCACGATGAAAACAAAAATTCCTGGAATTATAACACAACACGCTCGAAATTTAAGCGAAACAATAAAAATTTTACAGCAAATAATTTAAAATTTTCAACATTCTCTCATTTGTTATTTATTTCATTTTCACCCGTAGATAGAAATGTGTATGGTTGCATTATTTATGGTGTTTGCTATGATTTATATCATCTACAGATACCACTACATCAAAATGTGATTACTTGAGAGAGAAATTCTTCGCTTTAGTATTGTACTGTATGATTATTGAATTATTTAATTTCAACAAGATTATATAGCGTTATAAGACAATTAAATTTTCCTTCCAGGACCAGCGCTACAGTCTCGGCCTCTTCGTCGAGTCAAACCGAATCTGACTCTAAAGCCAATAATAAGAGAAGCTTGCTGATTCTTAGAATGCCAAAAACCAAGGAAGAAGAAAATACAGAATGCCAGAACCAAAAAACGAAACGCTGTAAAACATCGTTCCGCAGAGATACGGCAATACCCAAGGGGAAACGTCGAACCAAGCCGAAGAACACGGGAAACCCTCCAAATAATGAAAGAGACCGTGAATATTTTGTTGGTCAAAAGGCAAACATGCAACTTCTTTCTTCGAAGGAACCTTTAGCAAAACCAGGTGCAAAACCCGTGACCGAGGAAGAAGCGATGAATGCAACTTTTCGCGACGCGAGCGTGCTAGATTCGCTACAAAAACAATTAACGCCCGATATTCCTATTGTGGCTGCTTCTCGATCAAATTTCGCGCGAAAGACAAGTGTGTACGACGATGGTAAATTCATTTGTTACTGCAGAAGAAAGATCAATCCCACTTATAGAAAAGGCCCGGCGCGTGTCGTTCCAAAGCCGCAAGGATTATCGAGGAAGCTTAAAACGGCGAAGAAACATCGTAATAGAAATCCACTTGTAGGTAGCAAGCAACCAGCTTATGCAAATGTTCCACACGAATCACCTTCGTCTAAAAAATTATCTCCCACGTATCCGACCGTTCCTAAATATCCGCTTGGCTATATACCTAACAATGTGAACCCAATCTCTCCGCACGAGGGGCATGGAACAATACCGTACATTCCATACATTTATCATCCGGATCCTCGAGTTTCGATACCCAGGATCCCAGATGAAGGTGAAACTCCAAATATTAATACTCCGTTGAAATCAACTGGAACTAAATCCGACTCGATTGTTGGGCAAGTAGCATCAATCAGCGAGCACCAAACTCCGTGTCCTCAAAACATGGTTGGCAACAGTCTGTCTCAATCTTCAAAGACGTCTGCGAAGGGAGACACTTCAAATAATAACAACGAGGATTCTGTGCAAGCAGATCCTTCCGATAAAAATCATTTAACGCGGTTGGAGACGGTTGAATCTTCCAATGAAGATTCTTTTAACCTACAAGCTGCCAATCCTAGCATGAGTGCCGCATCGTCTACGGGCTTGGAAAATGGATTTGCGGATGGATACGAAACGATAAGCAGCGGAAATGTGGATTACTCTGACATCAAGGAAGTTACGACCGCATATTTCACATCGAAAGCTTATGACAACCAAGCTGGACACGGTTATGGTAATTTTCTTATAAGCAGCACGGGCACCATGGATTCAAATTCGGCGGAAATGCAGAATCGACATAATAGCCCTGCATGGAACTCGGGAGAATCCGAGAACGTTGGAATGAACTTGGACACGAAAGACTTGCATAATGCAAAGGGCCCGGACCAAGGAAACAATGAAGAAAATCTTATGCCGGGAGCAAATAACCCATTTTGGAGTCAAAAATCCTGTACAAGCAACGTGAATTCAAATTCGCAAGGCGATCCTAATTATAATGTCAATTTGCAGAGTAAGCACAACGATGATTCTGCGGGAAATTCGAGAGAAGACGATGGCATGAATTTGAATACGAAAGATTTAAGTAACGCAGAAGATCGAGAAACTGGTGAAGAGAGCGTTGTGTTTGGGGAAAATAAGCCCCAGTGGAATCGAGAAGAATCCGCAAACGACAATTCAAATCCGAATTTCGAATCCAACGTGGACAATACGCAGAACGATGAAGGAAATTTCGAACTTCCTTTTGCGCAAGACTCGGATGAAATTGGTACATCGGCAAAGATCGGTGACAAAGCCGGTCCATCGAACGAGAAATCTTCTGCAGAAGATTATGCGAGTGAATTGCCGGATACGGAGAATAATGCTGGTCCATTAGAGACCGATTACGAAAAGGAAAATTCCGTATCTAATATATTCGAGCAAAAAATCGAGAGCGAAGAGAAAAGTCCAATTAGCGATTCTTTGGCCGACGAGACAATATATCTCGCCGACCCGGAAAACGATTATACGACAATTGCCGAAGATTTCATAAATACGGACAATGAGAGAGTCGGGGCGGAGCAAGCGACAATCGAGAGCAAAAATGAGGACGATCCTTCCATCGACTCGACGTTGAGATTGTCGAGGATCGATGACGACGATGACAATAAGGCAACAAATGATTTGTCGAGCCAGTTGCCTTTCTGCGACAACACGTTGCTGCAAAAATCGATAAAAACGGCAATTAATAACTTTGCCACGGCTGATTCGTCCGAAATGAATGACAACGCGAACGAGGAAACAGTAGGTGCTGCTGCGAAAGCGGAAGATTTACTGCCGGAAATTGTACAAGTTCCAAACCTAAAGGGTATTTTGTCTATGCCGGCGATAGAGCGCACACTTTTGGATAAGATAAAGAATATTCTGTCGAAAGCAACTGGAATGGGTAGGGAGAATTTTGACAGTGACTGGGCGACCAACGTGATCAAAGATAATCTACGGCACACGTTGGCTGCCGCGCCTGCGGCTTCCAAGACGGAAGTCCCACCGATGACCGTCGAGGAGCATCAATTCAAAAATGGCAAATGGGTGACGAATATGGTTACGCTGGAGCCTTCGGACGAGGAAGACCGTACTCAAACGGATGTAGAAAGAATGCAATCTCACGTGAAGAGCCTTTTGCGCGATCCAACCGTTGGTTTACAGGCAGCCAAGAATCCTGCTGTTCAGAACATGATCGTCCAAAGCGTCCGACACACCTTCAAGCCTAAAAATGCAGCCAGCGATGAAACTATCGACTCGATTATTCAAAGCACTTTGAACGACGAATTAAACATCATGGAAATGGAAAACGATGAAATCCCCACGACGGAAAATATATCTGAAACCGAGTCTGAATCTACCACCTTCGATGTGTCGAATATCGATATGAACAAGCTTTTGGACATTGCCAGAAGTGAAGCGGGTCTGGGTGACAATGAAGACAGCGAGTTACATCCTTTGGAATCATCTGCGTATGAAAAAGATGAAGAAGATGTGAAAGATCAACAAACATTTTCGCCTGCCATGGACGGGGGTATTGTTGGGGAAGCTATGAACTTTGAAACAGAGACAAATCAGGATACAGAGGGATCTTCAGAGAAAAACCAAGCACCGAATAGTATAAAAGAACTTGAAACCGAACCAACTGAAACCAGTGGAACGTGGAACGTTGCTGCTACTTTGAGAGTTAAAGACGAATCTTCAACTACAAAAATAGAAGATTACGCGTCCGTAGAATATGATTCTCCGACAATGAATTCAGCAAAGAATGCTGACGCTGCGAATATGGAAGAAGCTGAAATTGTAGGAAGATCGATGGAGCAAGAAGATAAAAGTTCGACGACGGAGTTTTATACAGATGATGCTACTTCCGCGGAAGATTTTACGTATCTGGGGAAGATCGCAATGAAAAATAGGAATAACGCGGACGATGTGCAAAGTCTACAAAATTCCGAGCTGTTTTACGTCGGTGACGGTGTAAAGCTACCTTTGGAGATAAGAAAGCTGTACGACGGCTCTTACGCTTTATCGATTTCTAGGAAGGTTTGTGAACAACTATTAGATAAGGAGTGCCCTTGTTGCGTGCCGAGAAACGGCAACGTTATCCGGACCGTGAGACGAAATTTAGAAACGAAGAATGCTGACGCACGAATATCCAAACGCGAATCAATGAAATCAATTTTACTGAATGAAGGGGAAAGACGTAATTCAGCTGACGGCAGCTTACAGATTTTCTCAATGCCTGTGGAAACTTTCGCGAGAAGATACAATCTGTCTCTGAACTTGGAGAAAGCGCAAACTCCGTGGGATTTCGACGCGAAGGAAAAGATTGATGACCGATCGAGAGATCGAGAGAAGAGTTATAAAAATAAAAATGGCAATGGTGACTTTAATAATGGAGGGGCATACAATAATCTACACAACGATGCAATAAGTTCCGACATCGAAAGATATCGATATCAACGTAACATCGATGAAAGCGCAGATAAACGAGTCGAAATAATAACACAAGTATTAAACTGGTTAAGAGATATGGTATTAAGTGCAAATAGTAAAAGATGAATATATTTTTATTACTCTAAAATTTGTAATATGATACCTGATTATATTTTAATACTTTTTTATACTCCGATATATTATATTTGTTTCTTTTTTTTTTTAATTTTCCTATGTAATATAGAGAGAAAATAAACAAAAAACATGTTTGAAAGTTTAAGAAAAATTGAATCCCTTCCAATTATTTGTAAACGATTCCAAATGACTCTAAAAATTTTATTAAAGAATAGTAATGTTGACATTTACTTATCGTGCTAAATATTTATTTTCTTCATCTTTTTAGTCTTTGTTTTTTATTATCGAGTAAAAATCGGTGATTCATACAGCACTGACGTAATCCTAATGGTTACCTAGAATAATTTGTGATTGGAATCAATGAAAGGTAGTTTGGTTATGTTTGGCAGTCACGTACTTCTGTCAACATAGCAAAGAAATGGGCTTGTTTGGCAAATCCCAGGAAAAAAATCCTAAAGAAATGGTTAGAAACAAATTGAAAATCTAATATCTGTTCTGTGTTTATAAGAAATCGTATTTCAGGTTCAAGAATGGACACATAAATTAAGGAAAGAAGGCTATCAATTGGATAGACAGGTTAGAGGTAAGCTACTACTAGTGGTATTTTTTGGAATACATTGTAACGAAAATAATTTTTATGTATAGCGATTCAACGAGAAGAAGAAAAAATAAAGCGTTCTCTAAAAGAAGCAGCAAAAAAAGGTGACAAAGATGTTTGTAAAATTCTAGCAAAAGAAATAATACGTGCACGTAAAACCTGCAATAAACTTTATACGTCAAAAGCACATATGAATTCTGTTTCGTTACAAATGAAAAATCAGTTAGCAACGATTAGAGTTGCTGGTTCTGTCCAAAAATCTACAGAAGTGATGCAAGCAATGCAATCATTAGTAAGAGTACCAGAGGTAGCAGCAACAATGAGAGAATTGTCAAAGGAAATGATGAAAGCCGGTATTATTGAAGAAATGTTAGATGAAACTATGGAATCTGTGGAAGATTCTGAGGAAGTGGAAGACGAAGCAGATGAAGAAATTGACAAAGTAAGTCATCTGGATATGTTTAAAAAACTACGTACTAATAAAATGTACAATATATATTACAGATCTTATGGGAAGTAACTGCAGGTCAATTAGGTATAGCACCTGCAGTTGTTACAGAAACACCAGGCTCAGTTATAGCATCTACTTCCACAGAAGAAGAAAGTGAAGATGTAAATGATAAGGAACTTGAAGAAATGAAACTGAGACTGCAAAGTCTTCGTAGCTAGGTGTAATATATAAATAATTCATCTGCATTGACCTTAAAATCAACTTACACTTATTGAATATATACATACATAAGGTACAAATACAGTGGAATGAATGCCTATCATATTTCAATGCATACTTCAATAATATTTCTTAACAATATCTAATTAATGCTTTTATATTATATTAAATAACCAAAAGAAAATAAGTATTATAAAAATGAAAACAATTTTTATTTTAAAACTATAGTTTTTATAATCTATCTCTCTCATCTAATTTTATAATCCAGCTTTTATAATCTGTGCGTGATTTATAGGATGTCACTATATTTCAACTACATAAGTCATAAATACAAAGAAGCTGGCTTCTTGGTTATATTATGTTGAAAGATACATTTCTTAATTTAATTACAATCACCAAAATCTTGTATTAATATGTATCATATATAAATAATGGTTTTAATTGTTATTAATTTGTGCACTTCCTGATTACACCTCTCATATATATTAATATAATAAAAATAATGCAAAAGCACTATAATAGGTCACTAGTAGATACATGTACATAAAAAGATTACTATATTTATACACATTTAATTTTAAAGTTGCTAAATTCAGACATTTTCAACTTCAATATTTTGATACCAGCTTACACTAAATCACAGAATTGTAATATTTTATAAGAAATTATGTACCCCAAATTTGATATTTGTGTAGAACATCCTCTTAGTATATTATGCAAGTGTGCAGAATATCAAGAAATAGCAAATAAATTTAGGTCTTATAGCATTGGTACAGAACACTATTTACAACCTAAAATAAATATAGGTATGTAAAAATACAATTTAATTTACTTAATTAAATAGCATCCTAATTTCAACCATTTATGTTAGAACCAATTGCTTCAGCAAAAGTTCTATGGATAAGAAACCGTATTAAATTAAATGAAGATATTTCTAAACCAATACTTCTTTATCCTCAAGAACAATTAAATATCAATGCGTCCAATGTAAATAAAATGTGGTTACCAATTACATCAAACTTAATACCCCTAAAATTTATACTCCGTAAACTTTAAACTTCTATGTAATATTTATGATATATATTTGCACATTTGAAATATATTAAATAAATATTAGACATTGTATATTTGAAAAAATATTCAAACTGATCAAAAAAATACATATTTAAATTGTTTTTTTCTTATCTCAATATTTTTTGAAAAAATTTTATTGCACCATCTTTTTACAAATCTTTTTACATATCCTGCAGCTAATATCAATCTATACATATACAATGTACATATATATATATATATATGAACATATGAATATATATGTACATACATACAGATACATTCACATAAGTTATATATTGAAATTATACTCCCTATCAAGACTTTGAAATATAACATTAATTTTTAATTAATTCTTAAAAAATTTTTAAGCTTTTTTTGAACCTTTGTAACATCACTATATCTCTGTCATTTTTAAATGTCAACAATAACAAAATTAAATAACATAAAAATGATTAAAGAATTTGCTCGATATCATTTGTACTCTACAAAATATTTCGTTACTTTAAACCTATTATTATCATGCCTATCACCATCGTGTTATAAATATATAATAAAAATAATATATTTTAATTATCACTGTTTCACGGGTCTCGTCTCTCTTAGTACATGTATAAGTAACTGTGTGCATATAATTTATATACTTAATTATATACTCTTAAAAATACTATCATTTATTTATATTTTAGCAAATTTACAAGTGATCAATTACCATATTGACAATTGCAAGTTTCATCTGTGCTCTAGCTCTTCTAGGAAGTCTATGCATATGAGGTGCCAATTTGCGTAAAAAGTATTTGACTTCACTTCTAATAGGAAAAATTGTTCTTCTCATTGTTTTTGAACTCCTTTTACGTCTCACAGGTTTTTGTTGTGATAAACATTCTACTTCTTCAAAATCCTCATAAAACTGCTCTTCTTTTACATTACTTTCTTCTTCATTTAATCCTTCTAATGTATGTGGCAATACAACTTCTTCATGTACTTCTAATTCTTCAGTAATTACTTTATCCTCTGTTTCTTCTAAAGAAGTTGACAGAAATTCAGTTAAATTTTTACCTGTCTCTTGTTTGTTCTGTTTTATAACTGGCAATGTAACTGAAGCTTCACCATTTTGTACCCACACTTGCTGTCTTGTGTTAATTTCATTAGAGATAGTAGAAATATGTGTTATTTTTGGTTTAGTTTGCTGTTTCATTGCTTTTATTTTTTGTTGTTCTTGTTCAGGAAGATCTATTTTAATTAATAAACCTGGAGGGATACTGGATAAACTATGCACTGGGATAGGAGCACCTAAATTTGATATATCACCAGTGAATGGTAGAATAACCTTCTTTATGTTGCCTTGAATGTTATTTGGAATATTTGATGTAACATGGTTTGCTATTGTTATAGGCTGAAATTGATCTGTGAATTGAATTTTCCAGTTAGAAGTAGGAGGAAGTGGTAATTTTCTTATCACACGATTTTCAATATTATTAGGATCAGGCCTTGGAATGTTAATAAGAGTTGGCCTTTTAGATTTCCCACGTTTCTTTGCAAGAGGCGTTGGCTTATTATCTACCTTTGGCTTTTTACTAGATACTAAAGGTCTTGAAAAACCTTGTTTCTTAATTTCTTTAGTATTATTACAATTAGCTTCTTCTAACATATCTTGGTCATCTTCTATTTTTTCTGTTGAATTGACACAGTCTAGTTGCGATACATCCTTTATAGTCGGAACTGCATCACATGGTCCTACCTTATGAAAACTTTGTCCTGTCTGAAAATGTTTTGAACAAAGTACTAACTTTCTTATTTGATTTGGAGACATTTTCAATAAATCCTCTCTACCCAAAAACTGACACCATCTTAGGCATCTGCCTATTTCATAAGCTGGAAAAGGATGAAACTTGTATCTTTCTATTTTATTCTTTGGATCTGATCTTGATCTACCACAAGCAGCACACGCTTGACTTTCCAAGACAGCAGGCGGTAAAGGCTCTAATTTCTTAGGTTTCTCTGAGGAACTATATTTTGAATCAAATACAAATTCCATAATATATTGCTCAGATCCATCTAACTGATCAGGATTTCTAATATTGGGAACAGCATTGTCTATCAATCTGCTTTTATAACCAGGCATAAATTGAGAACGATCAAAATGTTTTGAACAAATGTAACAAAACAAAATTTCCTTTCTTGTCAATCTGTAATATGAATCTACGCCAACGAAGTCGAGCCATTTTAAACATCGAAATTCCTCGCCAGGAAAATGATGAAATGTCACACCATCATAATCTAAATCCGATGGATCTCGACGAAATCGGCCACATAATACACAGGTTATGTTATACAAACTTTGTTTAGGATCATAAATTGAGGGTACTGCGGTACAGTTTAATCTGTCGAAGTATTCATTTAAAAAATCCTTTGGCTCGAAGTGCTTGGAACATACCATACGTTGAAGTAATTGTTTCTTTGTAAGTTTATACAAATCCTCACGGCAACAAAATTCCAACCACTTTCTACAACGAGCTTCATCGTTAACAGGAAATCCAAAAAACATATATTCCTCTTCTTTGTTGTTTGGATTCATACGCGAACGACCGCATACAACACACGGATGTGGCATTTTTTTAAAAATTACTCTTTGTCTCTATACATTCGTCAAATAGACAATTCCATTTTGCTATAACTTCATGAAAAATATCAGGACTGAGTCAATGTTTTCTAAATATTATAGCTAATACATTCTTTAAAAGATTTAAAATTAAATTATCTTTTTATAGCCTTTTTGTATATGGTACAATTCTCTGATGTTTAGAGAATAAAATTCAATAATAAAATGCAATAACCTCTTCATCATTTTCCAATCGTATATGTAGTTCAAATTTTGAATATTTCTATGAAACAATATGCAGCAATATTAAGAAAGTTCAGAGAGTTAAAATGTTTCTTTAAAAAACACGTTTTTAGAAATGAATATTAAAAATCACTTTCTTTTCATGTTATTACACTTGTTGCGCCTTTCTTGAACTATGAAAGGTTAAGCTACTGCTACAGCGTCTTTCACCTAACCTTTCATAAAATAATACAGCTGTAATTTGGCAATAGACTAGCTAACCTATCAAAGTCTTGCTATCAAAATATCACTTTATTAATAAAAGAAATAATCAAAATGGCAGAAAATTCTAATAATCCATACGATATTAATGGGCAGCACTTTAATCCTGATATGTATTTTCAAAAATTATTAAAAGTAAGTATATTTCTTGATTTTCATATTTAGTATCTATCTAATAACATAAAATAATTTCTTATGTAGGAGTGTACATTGAAACAAATTATGGACCATGAAGCAGAAATTATAAAAAATACTCAAATTTTACACTCTGATATGCAAACTCTGGTATATGAAAATTATAATAAATTTATATCTGCTACAGACACTATAAGAAAGGTAAGTTTGTGTTAATTTGAATATAAACACAATTACATATTTGTTTAATATATAATATTCATACAATATACTTATTCATTATTAGATGAAAACAGATTTTAAAGAAATGGAAGATAATATGGATTTATTGGCCAAAAATATGGACAGTATCACTTCTTTTTCAGAGCAGATTTCATCAACATTGCAGGGTACTAGACAACAAATTGCCAAATTATCTTCTGTTCATACACTGTTAAAAAAGTTGCAATTCCTTTTCAAATTGCCTGGCAATTTGAAAGATAAAATGAATGAAGAGAATTACGCACAGGTTTGTGTCATATTACACTGTTACACACACACATACATATACATACACATATTTAAATAAGAATATTTGTTACTTTGTTTAGGCAGTGCAAGATTACATTCATGCACAACGTGTATTGAATCAATATGGCAATATGCCTTCATTTCAAGGAATACAGAAAGATTGTGAAGACATTGTAGAGGAACTCAAGTCAAGACTGAGAATGCAATTTCATAAAAGAGATGCATCAACTAAATCGTTAGCTGAAAATGTAGATCTTTTGTTACAACTAAAAGAACCAGCTGATTCTTTGTGTGCTGAATTTCTAACACATGCAGATGAAAGATTAACAGAACAGTTAGATGTTCTAAAAGATATGTGTGAAAATGATATTATAGAATTTGTAGATATGGCTAGTTCAGGATTTTTAAGTGACTTATGCTTGATTGTTGCATCCTACAATGACATGTTTATAAATCGATCACCATCGGAAGATAACGAATTTACGGATGACTTTGATACAAAAGCCATTGCACGTTTGAATAGCTATATCATGAAAAATATGAAAAAATATTTCGATTTAATTGAGAAAAGAGTAGAAAATGTAGCTGATACATCTATTTTAGTAAAGGCATTAGATAAATTCCATAGACGATTACAAGCAATGAATACATTATGTAAAGATACAGACTTTACAAGGTAATAAAAAATAACATTGTCATTGCGAAAAGAACGCAAAGTAAAATTCAGATTAAAATATATTTTTATTTATAGAACAGGCACCAATATTGTTATTAATGCAGGTAGAAAACAATGTTGCAATCATTTGGACAATTTAAAGTCCCATTTAAGTGAAACACTTGTTAAAGTGAGACAAATATTGACAACTAAAATTTCTCAAGACGGAGATAATAGTTTAGCCGAACTTCAGGCATTGCTCATAATGCCTGTCATAGAAAAAATTAAAGGAGTTTTGCAGGATTTATTGGTGTGCCTTTTATTCTTAACGTTTTTTATAACTATAAATTTTTTTATAACTTGATATCAATTAATTTAAAATTATATAATTTTAGGTATTTTTACAACCAGACTTGTCATTCAGTTTAAAAACACAATTTCTACAAAATTTCTGTGTGGATGAAGTTAGAGAAGGCCTAATAGTTGGATTTTTGCATCATTTAGTGATCACTGCAAATGGATTTTGTACTGGATCTGATATTCCAAAATTTCCACCTACTCTTTTACTTTTGTTGAGCAAAATGTGCATCGAATTCAAAGAAAATAATGTCAAATATTTGGTAGGATAAATAATTCTGAAGTAATTTTAGAAAACACGTTTGTAAGGAATCATTCTTTCTGAACAATTACAGCTTACTACTACCGATGATTTATTCAATATGAAACAATACACATCATCTGGAAATGTCATTACAACTGAATCAGAGATCTGTGACAAGTTTCAAGAAGCAGCGCAAAATTTATTAAATCATTACGTTCGTATTCAAGGTTTAGCAGTGTCGCAAATGTTAAGAAAATCTGTCGAAACGAGAGACTGGTTACATACGATCGAACCAAGAACAGTCAGAGCTGTAATGAAGAGAGTCGTAGAAGACGTAACGTTAATCGATACTCAAGTTGCTGCGTTATATGACGATTCTGATGGTCAAGTTGACCGAAGTAGCGACAGCAGTAGAAAAACCCATAGGTACATTGTGATCATTTCTAAATGATTAATAATATTTCATTGAATAACTTGCTTTGTTTCTAGCGTGAGTGTGTCCAGACATCACTACAGATCAAGTTGGTCATCGTATACACCCAATCATATAGATTCGTCATTGGTCACGAATATTCATAAGTTATTTTCAGAACGTATAGAAATTTTTTCGTCGGTTCAATTTAATAAAGCCTCAATTCTTACGGGAATCATCAAAATAAGTTTAAAGGTAAAATACTTTTAGCAGGCACAGTACCGCAATAGAAACAGGTGCTGTCAGCCAGTTACAATGATAAAATAGCACAGCCATTATCCACTTTGCATCACGAAGATACCTTAGTCTCTCGCGTTGCGTATATCGCATACTACGCAACGCATACTTTGTGCATTTAATATTATCAAGACTCGATATTTTACCCTAAACTAACAATAAGAATTATTCATTATTTACAGACCTTTCTGGAATGCGTAAGATTACGAACGTTCAGTAAATATGGACTGCAACAAATCCAAGTCGACACCCATTACTTACAATTGTATTTATGGAGATTTGTTTCGGATGAAAAGTAAGTTTAAGTAACTATCGTTTTACAGGAAGATAGTTTTGTATGAAAAATTTTTTCCAGTGTCGTTCATTTCTTACTAGACGAAATACTTGGAAGTGCTGTACATAGATGTCTAGAACCAGTTTTGATGGAACCAAGTGTTGTAGATATTATTTGTGAAAGAGGATGAAGAAACAGACAAGTTTCGACCATATACATACTAGTCTATTGTACAGTTTTTTCTAGCGTTATATTTTCTTGTATTACTATTTATGAAAATGAATGAATATTATAAAGATTTATAATATACGATGACCGTGTATATTCTTGTATATCTTATCATTAACACTGTACATTCCACGAATAAATTTGGCGACGAACCGTAAGAAACGATTTATCTCTTTTAAGTAATTATCTCTCTATCCTTTTGTTCATTTCGTATCACCACCTACGCAAATCGAATACTACAGAGCCTGGTCGTGTCAAAGTACTACAATTCAAGTAACACGATGCACGACATACTTTTCTTTCTTTCTTTCTCTATTGATTCGGTGATGCGATCTTTCGTCTCCTTTCCTTCACTCTCCCCACCCATTCGGGATAAAATAAACTCATCAAAGCCTTAGTACTGTATAAGAAGCAGGGTCAAATGATTCTAATAAGTCTTAATTCTCTATTACATTCTGCACTTTTGAACTTTATTATCACTAAGCTACGGATGTTTATGCATTTATGGGAAAGAGAGATGTAAAAATTTATAGAATGCGAAAATGTATAAAATATCACAAATAAAATACTCAAAATATTACAGAAAATTCTCACAGGTCTCTATCAGATTTTAGTTGGCCAGGTTCTACTACTCTTCATATCATAATAAAAATATGACTCTGCATATTTACAGTTTAATTGTCACATTGCAGATGCTTTCGAAAAGAAAAGTCGATCGCTATTTTTTCGAACGATGTTATTTTTTTTTTTTTTTCGAATTGAAGAATTTGGCGTGCGATGCAAAAAGTGCGCAAAAGATAAATGAAAACAAGAACTTATGGTATATTCTCTTCTACATATTTAAATTCTAGCATCACTTCTATCGTTCATGTATAATATTCTAAATCGATCGTTTCATCCTTTTTACATGAATTTCATTTTAATTTGAATTCAGACTTTTCAAGACAGTTTAAAATTGTTATTGGCACGGCGTTCTTCCATCGACGACTGTCGCACATGACGCATAAATGTGCAAAGAATAAATAGGACAAGAGCTTACAGTATATGGGGTTCTGCCGTACCCCCTTGGCAGTGGCTCGAGTTAATTCGAACTTCCTCTCGTTGGATGAGATTCATTCTCCGAGTATCCGGCGTAGGCCTACGCACAGCATTCTACCCAATTTAATAAACTCTTCTAAATTACTCGGACGGGGCTATTCCCTCGTTCAATCATGAATTTCCATGAAAATCCAGAGAAAATTTGCTAAATTTCACTCAGACGTTTCCCAAATTCAATCTCAAGTCCGGGAGTGCCGGACGTAATATTTTAAACTCGACTTTACTCCGTGCGTTCGTTTCTACTAGATTTTACGCTTCAAGTTTAACATATTAAAAAAAAAGTAAAATGGTAAATTTGGAAGTTCCTTTTTATTCTGGATTGAATGAAATGTATATTCCATTGCGAGCGGCAAAATAATATCATTGTAGAGTCATATGTGGCACACGTGATCTCAGAAAACACCTGTACACGTGTGTCTTCTGTACGCTGTACGAAGTATATTTTCGATGGCATGCTCATTCCATTCTAAGCCGCTATGCAGTCACTGATGAACAACAAATTTTGTTCCGTGTATCGAAGAAGCTTGTTGGAAGATTAAAACGGAGTGCCATAAGTTCTAAAAAGTAAGTAACATTTTGCAGGTAACATTTTGCAGAGATTATTTATATATTTTTCAAAGAACGGTATGAACACGTCCCGGTGATGAACATATGCGACGACTTCAAATTGTATAAGCTGTAGTTTCACAATTATAATAAAATATATGATTTCATTGTAAGAAACTATATGTATTTTCGCCTTACAGCGAAGAGGTCTCTCATGGCGAATTGGGTGAAAAATAGCTGTTAGGCCGATTCTTGTTTTATTTAAATTACGAGACACAGGCTGGCCTAATCGATGCACAATGGATTGCCATCGACGGAAGAAAAAGCTACGTAACAGGGATTGTATATCAATGAAAGGTGCGTATCACTAAAATGGACCCGCATGAGAAAATCGTGTGTAGATCTGTCCAGGCAGAGGCGACGATTATCACGAAATGACCAAACTATTTCCAAGTGCAAGCTGACGGTTGTACAGGAGGCACATTCTGCGGCATAGGGGCAGGCACACACCGCGTGCACGTATTAATCAACGAGCTGTCCTTTTCCTCCGTTTAAACTCTGTACGACCATCGTCAATTTCTTCGTCAATTTGCACGGCTGGATCTACTCACGGTCCTTCTATCAATTAGTAATTAGTCGACGTAATGATACGATTTTCAAGCCTAGATGTTTGTACAGTTACAGATGGCATCGACGTTGAAGACAATCGGAAAACTTTGTTACCCAATGATTCATCAATTCTGGCCAACTATTTGGAGTGATAAATCTATTTGCAGTAGCTCTACTTCGCTAAAGTACTTTGCATAAGCGATAATATTTAAAATAATCGTCGTGGAAATGTTTGTGTGTATATACATAGTGTGTTGTCTCACGCGTGACGTTTCAATGCACTGATTTCAATGCACAATTTTTCTTGAAACAATTTTCACAAAGTGAAGTTATAAAGTTATATTTATACTTGAACTGAAAGTAAGTGAAATTAAGAAACGTAAAAATAGTAACAAGCAAGATCGTTCGATTAGTTGAGGAAAAAAGGCGCTACGGTGAAGTTTGGAAATTGGTTAAATGCGAAGATATTTCGATTTGTGACCATAACAACGGGCGGGAAAAGAACGCACTCGTTGCTATGTTCGCAAATTAAGCTATCTTCCCGACAGGTGTCTCGAGACTCGCGAAATTGCGTCTATGAATTGAATAAATGGCCTGATATTGTACGCATGATATTTTCCATAGGGAACAAACACGACAGCTTGAATTTTGAAGGCAAACTCGAAATATAAGAGAAATATAAGTGAAAAGTTTACACGTAACGAGATAAGAAAGATCGTTTGAGCAATAGCCATGGGAAATTCGAACTTTAGTCGCATTTACACGTATATATTTAGGTCTGCATTTGATCTAACGCAGTTAACAGGCAATTGTCGAGGATAGAAGAGTCTGGCAGAAAAGTTGCCACGTTACTTTAATTTGCTGATCTGTCTGTTAAGTAGTAGTGCCGTAGATGATGATTTAGAAATTCACCTCGGCACAATTACTTTTCACATAGAAAATGCTATAATTGCTAATGGATACGTCAATTTATTTGACATTTCGAAAGCAATAACAGGTAATTCATTTTATAAATGAATGTTTAATCCACTTACGAAACACTTTGAAAATGATTTACGATCCGTTGCGATGATCCTCGAGATTTTACGTCCGTTCTTCTTTATTTCCGATTCGCGGTAAATTTCTAAATGCGTCACGCGTTAAACGAATTACTATTATTATTCTAAACGATTCGTTCGTACATAAAACCACTTATTCCACTTATAAAAGTAAAATATATCCGGAAAACGGTTAATAATAACGCGGGAAATCTCACCTCCAAAAATATACTCAACCGGAAGGGAGCCTCTCGACCAATCAACATCGCGAACGCTTCATCATCCGTGCCCGCGACTCTCAACTGACACTACGAAAGTCATGTCAGAATTCATTGTGAAATGTACATTCATTTAATTCTACAAATAAAAGAAAAAATTAATTATTTATCGCATTCTCCAATTTCTTGGACTTCTGTACTGTTTAAATGAAATTGAAACTAAATTGAATATTAATAATTGAGCTAAAGTCTTACTTTATATCGTGTCTTACGCCTAACGTAGTTATTCAAACGTAACAGTGCAAAATAATTTCAATTCGCAAGAAAATGGAAGTTTGACACTGCCTAGTAACTTAAATACGTTCCTCTTTATCAAAATCAATGTTAAAGTCGCTTTTCATTCCATATTGGGATTCTCGTTTTACGCACATTTCCGCGGTAGATTTGAATTTCCGTTTACTGATAATTCCGTATCAAATGGTATCTCGGACATGTGGTAATTTGATCTATAAGTGAAGGTTGAAAAGCACTGTCATAGAGAGGTTGTGTCATCAGCCGCGCGATTCAAATCGTGCGCCAAGGCAAGGCAATAAGGATTTGGTGAGCCGGTGAATGGTTTGATAACAAGCGGTGGAAGGCAGGCACAGGGGAGAACGCGCATTGCCCGTCGGTTGGCGGACCATTCAGTGACGCGATTCTTCACTGTCCGGCACTGATTTCAATTGGTAAATTGATTTGGAACGACGGCGAGAGAGAAAGAGAAAAAAAAAGAGAGAAAGACAGGATCAGACGGGGAGAGGAAAGATGATAAAGAAAGAGCCATACACCACCACCGTGACTAGGTGTACCGTCACACAGTGCAGAAAACCATGGCAGTAGCAGTAGCAGTACCTCTCTTGCGAACGGTTAATAGGTACTGAACGCTGGTTGAATGCTTAATGCACCGTGCTTCTAGGATTAAATTGACCAATCATTTCCCGCGCGGTAAGGAGCGGCCAATTACAGCGCTCGTCCGACTATATTAAGCCAATCAAGAACAGTTTATCGCTTAGTCGTCAGTCTGCAGTTGTGATACGTGTGTCGTGCGCGTGTTTTTCTTCTTCTCTCTTCTCAAATGATTCTTAAACCTGTGAAACAAACGAATCGCGTGAGAAAAAAAAAAGAAAGATGAACATTTGCCACGAATTACTCGTGATTGCTGCTATTTTTTTCAACGTTTAATCGTTCAGTGATTCGGATCGCCTTTCATTTACCTCTTTTAGCGCGGTGGTTTTTTTTTTGCGAACATTTAAAATTGCCTAACTAATCCGAACGGTATCGAAATCGCAATTTGTTCAATTGAATTTTGAATTTTTTTCGTTATTTGCAGTTATTCGTCAAACGTGCGGGGAAGAACTGTGTAAAAAAGCGCAAGAGAAGCACGTGAAAGAGCTTGGAATGATATGCATTTTATTATATATGGCCTGTATGATAAGCTTATTCATTTCTAGTGACGGTTCGTATTTCGATTCTTTAAGATCGCTTCTTGTGATTAACGTGTATTTTCTCTCCTCGTTAACTTTTCATTGATCGATTGAACTTGAAATAGTTCGATAGAGTTCTTCTCGTAATCCTGTTCGAAATAGCAGTGTGGTGTTACTGAAAGATTTCGACAATATTCCAACGTTAGAAGAACTTAATGAACGTCGGATCATTCCGAAGAATTAGCTACACCAGGTTGTTACATTAATAAGTGCGAAAGAATGCATCAATGGATACTAGTGTCAAATAGAAATTAGAGGTCATGAGATTTCCTCCATTTGTTCAATCAAGTCAGACAATTTTATTTCTTTGAACATCATGTGCAGTCAAGTAATACGTACATATATCTATATTTTTTTTATAGCTAAAATTCGAAGCACATTAACATTTTTTAGTCTTATTATTACACGTAATTAAAATCATTGACTTGTAATTTATTATATTATGTTATATTTTACAGCTTCACATCAATATACAGACGTCGATACAATATTTCGTAAAAACTTTTCAGTATCACTGATCACGTGCTTCACACCGTAGGAAATTCATTGTTTAGCAGTCCACTGCAATGAGGTTCGTTTCGATTGTACGCGTTAGATATATAACATATATAACAAAAGTATATTCTTATTTCTCTCATAAATACATTCACCGTCACGCAAACAAAATTAACTTTTAACCTCGATAAATATTCCACTATTAATATCAGATTTCCGAGAAACGTTAATCTAATAAAATTAGTCTAATCTAATAAAATTTCATCCGCATGGTTGACCGATCGGCTTTTCTTCTTTCGATTGTTCGATCGAGAAATCAGAGAGCACGAATCACTTTTCTGCATCTGTATCCGCAAATTAGATAGACTTTTTCGAAGTATATTTTCCTCGCTCGGCTTACAACATCTGAGAAATGAGATCATATGTGACCACACGCATAACAACCTCGCAAAGTATCGTTTCAATCTGACACTCGATGAAACGAATAGAAGTCTCGAGAAGAAACAAGGAGAAAAAGAAGACGAATGCGATATACCTACGTAACAATCGCGGAAACGATAAAAGAGACGAAAAGATTCCATGAAAACAAGCGACTTCTCTCGCATTGCCAAGAATGTGTTAGAGGCACGACGACTTCGTTGTTTAACAGATTGCCATGAAAGTAAACGTAATTGGAGACATTTTGTTATTCTGAAAATGTGATGGCACGCAGTGTGCGTTGGTTAGACTTTATCGTCGCGACTTCTTGACCTCTCTCGAATGATAGTATAGAAACACGAGAAACGGGAGCCTCGAAGAAAATCGAGTTCCTAGAATTCAAATATAAGACTAAACTCTCAAACAGAGATCCTTTAATGAGAAAGAGGGTATAATAAAAAATTTTCTTCCCGTTCTTTCTTCTATATTTCGTCGCGTTCTGTGTTTCGTTTGAGAATAACATAACCTCTATGCATTAAAAATTATAGTCTCTGCAGAAAAATCGTAAAATATGTTGATCTTGATTCGAAACGCGTCGTTCTTAAAATAGAACATTTTTGGTCGCGGAGCTGAAGCGCAGAGGTCATGCTTTTCAAGGCCCCGCGAATTTTTATACAGAACCGCCTGTGTTTCTTGAATAATAGTCAACTTTTTTCAAGTATTATTCCAAAGGCGAAGAAGGGATCGAGTTCTTGCCACTTGAAGAGTATTTCTTTCGTTCGTTTCTTAGAATTCCTCCTCTGCTCGGTCTGTCATCCACCCACAATTTGCGCATCGTAGCCTAATAAGTTGACGAGTTATTTCACGAATACCCAGAGGGAGCCGACATTAACAGAAATTAGCGTTAATTGATGGTATTCTCCTTCCCTCTTCTGTTACCCTCTCTACTTTCCAGATGGTCTCGCGATCTCTTTCCCTTCCCTACGAATCTCGTACCATTTTTGCATAGTTTCGTTTGTACTTTATCGTTTTTCC